TTCCTCATCCTCTCTCCTCTTCTCTCGTCCTTCTCTTCCTCCTTCTCGAAAGCCTCGTCCTCCCTGCCTTTTCCTTCTCTTTCGTCTTTCTGCGCAGCTTCGGGCCTTGCGTGGACCGTGGAAGGCGTGGAGGGATGATCAAGGCGGGTTCATCGTCAGGCTGACTGGGCGTGGGGACCGCCGCTATGACAGTCTGCATGGGTTTCGCTCCCCAGTGTGGCTGCTCGCGCAAGGACGCTTGGATATCGCGTAAGCCGTGGGAGCGACGACGACGACGACCACGACGACGACGACGCCGACGACGACGACGACGCCGACGACGCCGACGCCGACGCCGACGCCGACGCCGACGACGACGACGACGACGACGACGACGACGACGACGACGACGACGACGCCGACGACGACGACGACGCCGACGACGACGACGACGACGACGACGACGACCACCACCACCACCACCACCACCACACCACCACCACAACCACTATCACCACCACCACCACCACGACGACGACGACGACGGCGGCGCGACGACGACGACGCCGACGACGACGACGACCACCACCACCACCACCACCACCACCACCCACCACCACCACCACAACCACTATCACCACCACCACCACGACGACGACGACGCCGACGCCGACGACGACGACGACGACGCCGACGACGACGACGACGACGACGACGACGACGACGACGACGACGCCGACGACGCCGACGACGACGACGACGACGACGACGACGAGGACGGCAGCGGCGGCGGCGCGTGCGCGGGCGCGCCCGCCGCGCGGGCTGAGGCCCGCCCGCGGCCCCGTGAGAACGAGCGCGAGCGCCCGGACATCCCCAGGGCCACCCCGGCGAGGGGCAGCGAAGGCGGGGGCGAAGGGGGGGGGCCGCGCGCCACCCGCATGGAGCGCAGGAGGAGGAGGAGGAGGAGGGGGAGGAGGAGGAGGAGGAGGAGGAGGAGGAGGAGGAGGAGGAGGAGGAGGAGGAGGAGGAGGAAGGAGGAGGAGGAGGAGGCGGAGGAGGAGCAGGAGGAGGAGGAGGAGGAGGCGGGAACATGCAGTGGAGGCGAAACGAGTGATCACGCCCGCGTGAAGCGCGCGGCCCCCCACGGGGCGGCACCTCGAGGGCCTCGCGCAGCTGGCGCACGGCCAACGCCAGCGGCAGCGGCAGGGCCTCGGTCTTGTCCGCGGCGTCGAGGAAGCCGAGCGTCGAGAAGACGAAAATGAACACCACCATGCCGAGCGGCCCGAATAGCTCCGCGCGACCGCACTCCGCGGTCGTCACTGCTGCTTGCAGAACGCGTCGTCCGAGGAAGGGCCGATGCCGCGCAGGCCGCCTGGGGCTCTCTTGGGCCATCTTGGGGTCATCTTGAAGCCTCAAAAGGCCCATCGGAAGCGAAAAGGCGAGGAGGCAATAATAACTATTTTCGCTTAGGTTTGGGAATGTTTTTGGTCTCTTGGGAGGGTCCTTCGAGGGCTCCGAGAGCACCTACAACCGCCTTGGGGGCGTCTTGGAGCCTCTCGGAGATATGTGGATGGCTATCGTGAACCATGTTCGGCTATCTTGAGCCATCTTGGAGGCCATCTTGGGCTATCTTGGGCCCTCTTGGGGCCATCTTGGGCCGTCTTGGGCGCTTTAACCCCTCGCCTCCCCCTCCCTCCAGACCCAGGGAGGTGGGGGGGGGGAGAGGGCCCCAGGCGTGCTCCGTTCCCTTGTCTTGGTCTCCTTGCTGTCCGGGTTCCCTGGCCTTGCTCCTTGGGCTCACCGGTACGTGCTCGGTTCCCCGGTCTCGTTGCCTGCCTCCCTGTCTCAGAGGTTCCGAGCAATGCGAAGCAATGCCAAGCACGTAATGCCAAGCGGTGCGACGTAATGCCAAACGATGCCAAGCCATGCAAAGCGCTGCCAAACAATGCTTCGCATTGCATTGCTTTGCGTTCCTCAGAACTGCTTTGAAGTGCTTCGGGAGAAAGAAGGGCCGTAATTGGAGTCGCGACTGCTTCATTTGAAAACTACGCCCCTCCATCCTTGAACCCGTTGTACATGTCAAGCTTTAGGATCAGAAGTTGTCGGGAAATTGTGGGCAAAACATCCAGCCGCCCTACCGAGACGACCGAGCGTTAGACATGCAGGATTTGTTTATACACACGAAAAAGGGATGGAGGAGGAGGAGGAGGAGGAGAATTCGGGGTGTAATTCGCGGTGTGTGCGGAGCTGGGGACTAGCCTCATTCGTGATTCGAGGCATGATGCGAGCTCCAGCCCACTAAGGGCCAAGGCCCGGCTGACGCGACAAGAAACTTGGCGGAAACATTCGGTATCGCAGACTTTCCTGGTGGCGTCCCACCCGCCCCTGCCAGATTCAGGTGTAAACCCGTGGGCAAGTCAGACTGGACTCGAGTGGACCTCCTGGAGGCCGTTGTCGAGAAAGTCGCGAAGGGGCACTGCCTCACAGAGCACCTTGCGTCGCCTCTGGCTGGGATCGGGTGTTCGTAGAGTTGGACCCGTCTCCAATTGTTCTGGGTGTGCGGACTCGCGAAGCCATTCTTTTACAACGCTTAGCCGAGTGAGCCATGCGAGCGCCTTGAGTGATGCATCCGCAGCAGGCGCACGGCAGCACATGTTCTGTACACTGCCACCTGGTGCAGGCAAGACCAAAGCTATCGTTGCCCTGGCCGACCTAGAGTGGAGGGTTTCTCCGAAGGGCTTAGGCGACCCGTCCTCCTCCTCCTCCTCGGCCATTTTGGCTCAAGCGGCCGATTTCCGGGACTAGCAGCAGTTCCGTCCGTATGGTGAATGTACGCCAGCAAGATTCGCAAAGCAAGTGAGATCGCAGCAGACCTCGCCCCCGAGTTTGAACTTGAGACGGCCGCCATGGACGCTGCACAGTTGGAGTCTCTACTGGCCAGATGTGCTGACAAGGCTGCCGATCTTTCCTACGACCGCCTGGCCCATAAGTTCGACGAGTTGGAGATGAAGCTCGGTAAGAGAGTGGATGAGAAGTGCGATGCGATGGAAAAGCGATTCGATGCGAAGACCGAGCAGGTGAGGAAGCTTGCCGTGTCGGGAGCCTTGTCTAACGGGTCCACCGCTGCTCCCAAGGGTGCCGGATTGAACCCGTACAGCTACGGTTGGCAGGTCTCCACGCACGAGGGCATCGTAGGGTTCAAGAATTGGGTCTCAGACTGGGAGGACCTTGACGCCACCATCATAACCCAGGCGGAGGCCACGAATTTCCTCAACGGTGTGTTTGCCGCGATCTCCCAAGAGTCCAAGCGTTGCGTGGATGAGACCGCTACCCTGGACAGGGTGCCGACACGCTTGCTCCATACCAAGCTGTTCATGGTGATGAAGTCTACGGCCACGAAGGTGGATTTGTGGAAGGTTCAGAAAGATTGTGCGCGTGTGCTCTGTCCTGGTGCTCTAGTGAACGGCAGGGTGGTCAAGTGCACGGTCACCCCTTCGGCCGAGGCGAAGCCGCTGACCATGCAGGCTTGCAAGTTCTACGACTACCTCGGGCGTCAGGGCAAG